TAGGTGAGAGTTTCGCAATACATATTTAACTGTATAGGCTATGCATTTTTCTAAATATAAATTTAATCCAAACAAACGTTGATATTAAAATAAATATATAATAACAAACTCGTTACAACTCCCTCCTTAGAGAATTTAAAATTGGCTTTAGATATTATACGTATAAACATTGACAACAATACATTAAATATAATATATTATTCAAAAGATTACAAAACTTCAATAATAATTACAGTATATAAACACAACCAATACAAATAACCTTATGAATCATGAAATTACATAGTACATGAAATAACATCGGCACAACTGTTATAAACCCTTATGACATGGATTATCTTCAAACCATATTCTCATGGTGATAAACTGCAATTTAACAGCCTAATGCTTTTTTTGTGTGTGTTTTCTTTCTTTCTCTCTTTTATTCTTTTTAATTTCTATCTCTCTCTCTTTCTTTCTCTCTTTTATTCTTTTTAATTTCTATCTCTCTCTCTTTCTTTCTCTCTTTTATTCTTTTTCTTTCTATCTCTCTTTCTTTCTCTCTTTTATTCTTTTTTCTTTCTATCTCTCTTTCTTTCTCTCTTTTATTCTTTTTTCTTTCTATCTCTTTTTCTCTCTTTTATTCTTTTCTTTCTTTCTTTCTTTTCTTCTCTTTTTCTTTCTTTCTTTTCTTTTCTTTTTCCTTCTTTCTCTCTTTTTCTTTCTTTGATTTCTCTCTTTGTTTGATTAGATATCCCATAGTGGGTAATAATACTAAGATCATGTCCTCAGTACGAAACTTACATTCTTCAAAATCTGGAATAGGTTTCAAAGGAGTAACAGGCATGTTCTGGTTAGATTTTCCGAGTAAGTGACAGGTATGACATGTTATACAAAACTAACAAATATCTTTCCTAATTCAATGACGAGGAACCCACTTTGAGACTAATAATGGTTTTATAATAAATGACCTCCAATTGGGAGTTCATGGGCAACTTTCAATATTACAGAACGATATGTTTTGGGAACAACGAGTTGATAAACAATATCCCAGTCCTCTGAAGCTGGCACATCTGGTGGTCTCCATTTCCTCATAAGCACACCATTTAAAAAAAAAACAACAAAAACATTTGGAACTTTCTCCAGTTTATCTTTAGGGAGTGCATATTTAAATAGTGAAGAGATCTGTGGATCTTTTTTTCCCTCAACTATCAGTTTACTTTTAGTAAACGAAACTTCACCAGGTGAATCAGATCCCTCACGTCCATCGTTATTCCTCACCGAGGAATCATCAGTAGGACAATTATCCACAAGATCCTCGTCGGATCCAAAATTTGTATGAGACATATATATATAACATCGTCCTCTGAATCCATGTCTATCATTTGTTTTTGGCTTAATTTCTTAGCCTGAGCGTGAGTCACAGCACACGAGGGAAACACATCGGGATTCTCCTCAACAACAACATCATCCTTAGATAAAACAGTGATCGGCTCACTAACCATTTTAGGTTCAGCAACAACTTTTCATCCAGCCAAATCGTTTCCCAACAACAGTGATACACCCTTAATTGCCCCAACCACAACTGGTCCCGAAACCAGGTCTGATGCTAAATAAACGTTATAAAGAGGAACATTAACAAAACCACCCTCAATACCCTGAGCAATAACAGACTCACCAGCGGGAGCCCTGGATTTTAGCATTGTAAGCCTTTAAACATACCGCTGGCTCACTGTGCTCTTAAATTGGAGGAATAATACAGTAGTCTTTTTAATTAGGATGAAATAGATAAATGTTCGTAAAATGTCCAACTAGAAATTCTTACGTTGCTTTACATAATTATTGTTATTATACTCATATTAAACTTTATATACATTTTATCAGTGACATAAATTATTAATATTGAACTAAATATTTAAAAATATTCATATAACCAAGGATTTTCTGAAGTTCGTAATGTTTTGTATTATGCATTTCCGCTCACTATTTAATAGACATGGACGGACATTTTGTTTGTTTTTGAATTTCTTGCAAAGCTACGCGAGGGTTATCTGCGATATCCGTCCCTAATTTAGCAGTAATAAATTAGAGGGAAGATAACTAGTCAACACTACCTATTGTCAGTCCTTGGACTACTCTTTTTCCAGCGAACAATGGGATTGGCCGTCGCATTATAACGTCACACGGCTGAATAGGCAAGCATATTCGGTGACGGGGATTTTAACCAGCGACCTCAGATTATGAGTAAGGAAGAATCAACTGACTACTGACCAGTCTACTGGGTTTCATATGCTTATTATTATTAATTTCTTACACAAGAAAATTGTTTTATTTTTCATCTACTCGTCATTTATATCATGTCCAAAAATTTAAAATATTGTTGGACATAATGACCATTCTTGTGAAGCTCCTTTAAAAGTTCAAAAAGTCTGATCGAACCTTTTTTCATTTTTTCCTTCCTAATAAATTTCCTTTCCTATCATTTTTGCCATGTTCACAGTATCAAATGTTAGTTTGAAGTGAATAGGCATGCAACTTTCTTTCATATTGTAATTTATGTGTTATTAATGTGTTTAAAATAAATAAATTATCTCTTATTGCAAATCTCTTCCTAAAACCTTTTTCTCATATTATATGTCTTTACCCATACATTCGGAAACCATTATTGACGGAAATACCAAAAATTAAACATCATAAAGAAATATGAAAGAAAGGTGAACTTCTACATCACGACTTCAGATAGCCTAGATTATATCTGATGTCATTTGAAGTACAATCCCTCTCATTGTACATTTGGAGAACATGCATAAGCCTTTGATAGCCACAAAGATGGGTTTTAGCAGGTAAATACTTCTGAATACTGCACAGAAGCTCTTAGATAATTTCTCAAGTGCAGAAACTGTCGTTTTTTGATCACAGATTTTCATCCAATTGTCTACAGATCACACTTTCTAGCAGCCATCTCCTCATCTCCAACCACACTAGATGTCATTGTTCTAGGTATTACATATTGACATCTTCAATTTTCCAAGCAAAATGCCTCTCAGTGGCTCAACGGTAAGCCTGAAGCCTTATAATGCTAAAAAACTGGGCTTCGACACCCGTAATGGGCACAGCAAAGAAAGAACATTGTGTAAGCTTGTGCTTAAAACCAATGAGACAAACAAACCAAAGTAGAAAAAAATCGAGTATTTCTCTCACAATATCTTAAAAAATACCAACAGAGATATTTCACTAGATAGTTAAGAAAATAAAAATTCTAAAACCTTTTGATTTTTCAAATTTCACAGCCGACCTCTGTAAGATTTGATCACCACCCCCAACCGTTGTGGTATCAAGTGAACTGCTCCACAGAATCATCATGGAATTCCATTCTATAGCTAGAAGAGTTGTTGCTGAAATAAATAATTTAAACAGAATTTAAACGATATAATTAGGTGTATTAAAAACAAAGCCTAGCTCTAAAAAACCTACATGTTTTGGTGGCGCTCTACATCGCAATCATCACGAGTAAGAGTTAAAAATTAGAAATCAGTTAGCGATTTATATACCTAAATAACATTTAATTTACATTACACCTTCAGTGCCATCTAGACGTCGAACACAATTACCCCTAACCTCCCTGTAAAGCTTACGAAAATCGAATTCCGGTATTTAATTTCTTCCATACATGGCCAAAATTTATGTTCAATTTTTTTTTCCATTTCTACCAATTATCTAGTATTTAGTTCGCACCTAAGCTCAATCTGATTAATCAGTTTAACGTTTTTCCAGTCTATAACATAAGATGTGCTGACCACATATTAGGCTAAT